ATCTCCTGGAATGCTTTTAGCCTTGTAGCTCCTGCTAGTTCCTGCTTTTCTTTGACTCCCAGGAAACTCGAGGAACATCGAGTGCCCTGCCTTTCAAAGGACCCTCTTCCATCCTGCTCAGCGGCCATCCCAAACTTTTACTTGCCTCCTCAAGTCCTCTCCTCCATCACCTGCACCTCATTTTCTGCAGCTGACTTTGCCTGTGCGTTAGAGTCTGGAGGCGGTCACCAACCCTGAGCTCCGTGGGGATGAAAGCCTGTCTGCCTCTTTCAGGAGTGCAGCCCCAGCTCAGCACTGAGCCTCACCTGGGCCTTCTGGAGGAGCTGTCCACACTTGCTGGCTTCATGTTCTCACATCCATTCCCTTTTCATCCTGCTGTAGTCTGAGTTCCCACCTCACCCCACCACTGAAACTGGCCTACATCAATCACTAGCTCTCATGTTTCCAAATCCAAAGGACGCATTCTGTTGTTATCTTAGATGACCTCTCTGTAGAACTGACCCAGAGACTGACTCCCTACGTTTTGAAATTCTTCCCTTCCTTGGTTACTGTAGTAGCATTCTCCCTCTGCAGGCAGACCACCTGGCCTTCCAAGCCCTTTCACTGTCCATGTTCTCTTGGACCCCTCCTTCTGCTCCTGTCTTCCTCCTCTGCACAGACTCCTGGGGGGGTGGGTGGACCTGGGTCATCCCCCCACACAAGGCTAATAACTGCTTAGGAACCGTGTTGCTGCCTCCAAGCCCTTTGCTGTGCTCTGCCTCTGCCCTCATGTCCCTCTGCCTCTGACCTGCATGCCCTCAGACTCACACTCATCAGACCTACCTCTCCTCTGGGGCCCCCTACCTTGCTGAAAATACACCCTCCACCTGGGCATCAGCTGATCTCCCTCACTCTCACCTCCACCTCCAAACAGTCAGGAACATCAGCTACCATCTTTACTGTATCTCCTCCCCCTTCCCACTGCCACAGTCAAGTTCAGGCCCCATGACTTCTTGTCTGGATCACTGTGCCTGCTGCCCAGCTTGTCATCTGCCTTGCAGTCCCCATCCCCTCCACTGCATCTTCTACACTGCCACCAGGGATCTTTCTAGAACACAGTGTTCTGCCCTATCAAAAATGTATCTGTGCCGGTGACTTCCCTTCCCCTGTCCAGTTTCAGAACAACTCTCAGTCCCAGCACCAGGTGCCTCATAGTCTGGCTCCTGCCTGGGCTCTTGCCACCTGCACCCAATGCTTCCACTGTACAGAAACCCCTTGTAGTTCCCCAAGTATGTCATGCACTCTCACAACCTCGGCACACGCTTTCCCCCTCTCTGAGGAGCTCTCAGCTCTCCCTTTTTCATCCGGTTATTTTTACTTCTAAAACCTTCCCTGATATCTAAGCACATTTTAGATGCCATCTCTGGGCTCCACATCCCCTGGGATTCCTTCTCTCAGAGCACCTGTCACCCCATAGTGTAAATGTCTCCCTACCTGTGGGACATCCCAAGCACCTAGTAGGTGCTCAATAAATATTTGTTGAAGAGTTGAAATGAAATCCTGTTTGAAAGGAAACAGGATATGAATAAATAAACAATAACTGCCTGGCACTAAGTGCTTCGCAGGTATCGCTCATCCAATCCTCACTCCCTCCATGAGGGAGGGACTGTTATCATCTCCACTTTCCAGATGAAGAAACTGAGCACAGAGAGGTTCAATGACTTTACTCCAGGTCACACACCGATAAATAATAGAGCTGGATTCGAATCCACATGGCCTGGTACCACTGTCTGTGCTCTTAACTGCTCCACTCTACTGCCTGTCCAAAGAAACACGAGGAGTGGCGAAAAGACAAGCAGGGAGCAGGGCTCAGAGAGCTCCTTCCTAGTAGGGAGCCTTGCTCATCAGTCCAGGACGCTCTCAGCTTCAGGCTCCAAAGGAGTGCCAAGGAGTCTTGCCCTTTGCACACAGGAGCGTGCGAGAGCACGATCTCTTTGCTCTTCCTAGTGGAAAGAGAGGCATCCTGTGTGTGGCTGGGACCAGGCTGCTTGCTTTGGAAACTCCCGGGCTGTGTGAACGTAGGCAAGAATCCCAACCTTTTGATCCTCCCTTTCCTTTTCTATACATCGGGATAACTATAGTACCTACCACCTAGACAAATTGTGAAAAACAAAGTGAGATTAAAAAACAAACGTGCATAGCCTAGTGGCACATACATGGGAAGCATTCCATAAATGTTACATGTGTATTATATGATTACAGTGGTAGCTTTGGAGCTAGGGCAAGGTTTGAGACCCAGTTGCATAATGAAAGCTAAATTTTATGGCCCTGAGCTCACTGATAATTCTATTTTAATTTTAGAATTCCATATGCTTACTACCAACCCAGTGGAATCTTGTGGCCCCGTGGTTTGCATTTGTGTAGTGTCTATCTATGTTGGTTGACCCTGGCTGCTGTTGACTGAACGTGGGAGGTGAGAGCTAGAGGGAGCTGGTGTGGCGCAGCTGTGTAGAGTCGTGGGTTCCAGTCGTGGCTCTGCCACTTGCTGGCTATGTTACTTTGGGCAAGTGGCTTCAGCTATTTGGTCTTCAGTTTTCTCATCTGCGAAATGGAGATAATAATATGTGCCTCAAAAGATTATTGTATGGGTTAAATGAGAGTAAGTAAAAACACCTGGCTTAGGGCCGGCCTAATAGTTAGCACTCACCAAAAGAACCCAGGACTCTACACAAAAGGCTGGGTGGTTTTTTTGTTGACTCCAAAGATGATTGGCAGGAAGATGGTGGAATTAATCACAATGACAAGCCACAGGACAAAGAAGGAGGAAAGACAGGTTTTGAGTGAAGATGATCATGAATCTGGCTGTGGCTCCAGGTTGTTACAGTGGACATTCAGCTCCTGGATGACAGTCCCCAAAATTGATATCAAGCTCACACATCTGGCTGCCTGCCCCCAGACAAAAGCAAACCACTCAAAAGTCAAATGTTGGTGAAAATGGAAGCCAGCTTTTATTCAGGAATAGCAGTGACCTGAGGAGAGATGTGGGCTAACCCATCTCCCTGGTAAACCTGGAGGGAAAGGCCAGACTAAAATCATCTCTAAGTCTCAGTTCTACTGAGGGGTTTTTAAAGGGGAGGATGAGAGATTGGAACATAAGAAAATGAAAAGCAGGAGGGAGAGCACGTGAGTAGCGAGGGCTTCATGCAAGGTCTCAGGTGCAAGGTCTCACCAAGACTCCGTCTGGTTTCTACTCCCGTCCTTATCTCAGGGTCTGGGTAGTACGTGCAAGTCTGCAGCTTCAGGCTGGTTGGAAAACAACTTTACATTCATGTAAATAATGTCATCTTGCCCCCTATAACCAAGATCCAAAATATCAAATAACCATGGGAAAAGAGGGAACTCAGAGAAATGCATGCCAAGAAAAAAAAACTGTGTCTTTTTAAAAATCATTTAGAGCCCATGTGGTTTTAGGTCCCAACATGGCTTCAATCCTGCTCACTCCAACAAGGTGAATTTAAAAAATAAATAAATAAATAACAATAGTAATAATGTGAATTTTGTTGGGTTTTTTTCAAGTCTTTCTGTTCAGGTAGAGAATTAGAGAAGTTTCTCTCTTCTCCTTCTCTAAGAACCATATGGCTGGATAGCTTCTGGTGGATATTTCATGAAAGGTACAAGGTAAATGGAAATCTTATTGTTTCTCTCCCTGCTTAAGTCATTTGTCTATGGAACAAATTTTAACCTCTTTAGCATTATAGCTCAGCCGCTTAGAGCATGGTGCTGATAACACCAAAGTCAAGAGGATTGTCAAGGGTTCAGATCCCCACACCCACCAGCCATAAAAAAAAAGAAAAAAGGCTACAAGGTCCTCTGATCCCATGGACCACCCCTGCAGCCTCAGCCATCACCCCATCCTCTCCCCACCCATGCCTCACCCATACACTCTGGGCTTCAGCTATTATACAATGTCCTGCTGCTCCCCAAGCTTTAGGAACTGGTCCACATCACTTGGCTGGTCAAGGGCAGGGCTGGGAGTAGAATTCAGGACCTCCTGGCCCAGAGTTAGGGTGCTTCCTTCAACAACACTCTGCCTCTATGTTCATCTTTGTAAATCTTATACAACAAATGAATGTATCATTTCATAAAGCATATGAGGTTAAACATCTTGCGAATAAGATTCCTGAAAATGAGAGCAATACTTATTTAAGAATCTCAGCCCTTTGACTGTTTCAACAAGGAACTCTAGTAATTCCTTCTCTGTTTCTATTCCTGGCAGCCAAACAAGGAGATCCAAAATAAGCTGTTTGACAGGATAGCCCGACACTACGCCTTCCTTTTGTTTCATGGACCCAGGTCCCACTACGAAGAGGCGCTCTTAAAAGTGAGCATCAACTACTATCTAGAAAAAAAAATCACATTAGATTTCTATTCACTTCTGATGCCAAGAGAATGCCCTGAACATTCTTTCCATAAGAGTGATTAGTAAGTTGTGATGCATCCATACACTGACCTGTAATGTGTCACTTACCAGGAGTACGGTGGAGCTGTATATGCTGATTGAGACAGATGTAATGATATATTTTAAGTAAAAAACAAAGTAATTTATATAAATTTATGTTCAAATATATGTATATGCATATGTATATGTTATTGTTTATGTGCCTATGAATAGAAAAAAAATCTGGAAAAATATTTACCACACTCTTAGCAATGATTATCTCTGGGGAGTGAGGTTATAAGAGACTTTCCCTTTCTATTTTATATATTTCTGTAATACTTAAATAAGCATGTAATTTTAAAATTAAAAGTGTGAATATACATATATACCTTCTACATGTGTATGTATATATGTGTGTGTATATATATAGTAAAAGGATTGCTAGAAGAAAATGTAAGTGAATACTTACATGATTGGGGGGTGGGAAGGGCGTTCTAAATATGACCCGGAAGAAATGTTACCAAACCCAAGTCCGGCTTCCCATTTTCAAATAGAAACAAATGACTGAAGAGTCAAATGTTGGTAAAAAGAGAAGGTAGCTTTATTCAGGAAACCCAGCATCCTGAAGCAGATCACAGACTAAACCATCTCAAAAGCTCCAATTTACTGAGGGTGTCTGTAAGGGGGTTGTTGAGGGAGTGGCATGTGGAAAGAATTAGTAGGGAGTCAGCTTCTTTGCAGAGTCTAGCTGGCTGATACCTTCGGGCTTCTTTGCAAAGTCTAGCTGGCTTTGCAGCTGGTCATGTTATTCCTTGTCGGCACCCATGGTCAGCTTCCAGACATCTGATTTTGATTGTTTCTTGGAGCTCTGCATGCCTCAAAGAAGAAATGTTAGTTTTTCAAGGTCAAGCAGGATAAGGAAGTAAGGGGATGGGAAGAAAGAAAGAGGGGAAAAATACTGTGTTTTGAAATTTTCTAAAGCCTGGGAGGTTTTCTTAGGTCCCAACATGACTTCAGTCTTGTTCGCTCTAACGGAAATAAGCCATAAAGAAAAAGACCAATAGATTTAACTATATAATTTTAAAAAAAATTACCACAAAGAGGCAAGTGACAAGTTATGCAAAAATATTGGTAGCATATGTGTCACACAACATGAAGAATTCTTACAAATCATTAAGAAAAAATTAAACACCCCATGGACCAATGGACAAGGTATATAAACTAGAAACTCACCAAGAAAGAAGTATGAGTGTGAAAAAAAGTTCACTTTAACAATAATCAAAAATGTAAATTAAAATGATAGTAATTTGATACCCCTTTTTACTTGTTAGATTGCATAGATGGAAAAGTATAATTCCCAGGGTGGTTAAGCCTAAAGGGAAATGTCCTTCTCACAGTGTGAGTGAGAAGCAAGTTGATACAATCATGCCGAAAGGCACTTATACTAGCTTAGTGACTGCTAAACAAGTCACAGAGGCTTTCTGTGCCTCAGTTTCATCATCTATAAAATGGAGATAATAGAACTTCTCTGAGTTGTTCTCAGGATTAAATGAGACGAGTCTTGTAAGGCATGTGACATACTGCCCAGTTCCCGCTAAGCCCTCACTATATCACAGCAGCTGTAATTGCTATTATACCATCTTCTGGAGTACACAATCTAATGTAGAGGAGGAGCTGCTTTCCTTCATGCATTTATTCATTCATGCAACAAATTTTTGACTGCCTACTGTTTGCCAGGCAGTGAGATAGTTTAATAAACAAAAACAACTATTCAGCATAATTTGTAATGCAAAGTCTTGGAAACAAGACAATATCCAGTTGTGGGGGATGTTCAAGTAAATTTTGATATGCCCACTCAGTACAATATTATGAAAATCACATTGGGGAGAAGAAAAATCCCAAATGAATTTATAACAACTTGGGGAAGCACTTTTATTATGATGTTAAATGGATAAAGCCAGATATAAATGTGTAATTTGAGCTTACCCATAGTTAAGAAGCAACAACAATAATACCTTTAAAAAAATTTTTTTTAAAGCATTAAAGCGTTAAAAAAAAAAAAAAAACCCACCGCCACTAGTGAGTAGTAGTGTATATAGTAATATGGGTAGATCAGATACACCTTGGCTATACTTTGGCCAAGTTGCAGGAGGGAGTGTGCAACAGACCCCCTGGAGAGGCACTGGGGGAGGGAGAAGGTTTTGCTGGCCAAGCAGAGCATGGTGTTAGGGGAGTGACCCTCAGGTAGGAGTCCACGGAGACATGAAGGCAGCCGAAGATGGAAATCGCTCCTCTCATGAACAGGAAGGCAGCGCGGTGTTGGGTAAAGCATTTTATCACAGATCCGTTGAAGTCAGGGGCTCTTATCTGAGGGTGGAAATGTCGAGACCGTCGCCTGAGCTCTGCTTGCCCTGCAGAGGTTGCCATCGCTCCTGAGCAAAGCCCTGTACACCAGCTTCTGTTGCTGCTTCCCACAGTCCTGGTTCAACACTCACGAATTCAAGTCTGACATCTGTAACACAGTGAGCCTGTGGATTTCAGGTGAGGGCTAACTTCTTTCTCCTGGGGAAAGCAATTCTGGAACAATGTTTTCCACCAGAGCCCGGGTACATTATTGTTTGCCATAACACCCCTTCATCAAGGCAGTCTCCCTTTTCTCTCCTCAGCATTAAAGTAAAGTGTGGGGGGGGAGCCCCAAGGAGTACGGATTTTCCTGCTTCCTTGAAACAGTTCTGAGACATCCCTTCCTTTCCACTTTTTGTGCCCAGCTACATCTGCAGGGAGCAAGGACCCTCTCCTAACAAGATACTGAAGTTTCAGCACAGTCCCGTTGTTTAACCATGTGCTGTGGGCTGATGGCCCCAGGACTCAGGAACCTAAAAGCAATACGATGGTTGGACAGTCTTACCCTTCCAGCCTCCATGCGACCCCATGGCAAACTGCAGCACCCCTCCCTCCAGCACACACAGTGCCAGTTCGATGCTTGCTTTTTAAACTACTTTTCAGTCCCTTTCCCCACTTCCCCCATCTCAACCTAGACATTTTCTAAGGTCATTAAAAGCTACTATTTATTCAGAGGTTCCTGTGTACTAGGTACTGTGCAAAGTAAGCACTTTTTACATTTCCTATTGTATTGGAGAACCCCAAGATCACTCCCCACATTAGGAGATTTGCTAGAAGAACTCACAGGTCTCGGAATATAGTTGTGGTCATGGCTAAAATTTATGAAAGTGAGGTAGTGAGGACACACAGCTGGATCATAGGGGAAAAGACAGGCAGAGTTTGAAGGAACCCATATGCAGCCTTCCTATGCTCTCTCCTTCCCATCAGGAGTCACACAGAGCCCACTCATCCCCCTGCAACATGTAGCAACATGTGTGTGATGTTTCTGCCCAGATGCCAGTCAAGGGCCAAACTTTGTAGCAGGCTTTTCTAAGGATAGCAGTCTCAGGCCTGTGGTGTTAACTCTTTTCTGTACATCCACTCAATCCTCTTAACATGCAGGATCAAAGAAGTCCAACAGCAAAGAAATAAGGGGCAGATATTCAGATCTAGGGCTATCCCACTCCAAAGCTAGATCTTTGACCACTCTACCATCCTGCCTCCCATTCCCTGACTCTCTTCTCTTCTTGCTTCCTCTTTCCTGTTCCCCTTTTCATCCAAAGCCTTGCCTCCTTCCCCCAACTCATCCCCAGTATAAACCTCCTGTCCACTCGCTTTGTCCAGCAGAACCAGCAGCTTTGCATAGTAGCTCAAAGTTCTCAAGTAATCCTTGGAAGTATCACCATCAAATATGTCGGGAGAGCCCGTTTTTGGCACTTAGCTAAGTTTGACAACATGTTGAAGAAACATTTACTAAACACCTATTTATTATGTGTCAGGTCCAGTAGTAAGCCCTGGAGGTACAAAGATGAATAAGACGCAGCCCCTGCCCTCAAGGAGCTCATAGTCCAGCAAGAACAGGGGAGATAGGTAGGAAAATAAACAGCCTAGTGTGTTCACATTTGCATAGCACAGCATGGATTCACACACCTGTGGGATCTGACCCTTGCACCCAGCCACGGCTGGGCAGGGCAGGTGTCATCAGCCCCATTTTCCAGATGGAGAAACCAAAGCCTTCTTAGAGAGAAATGCCTCACCCAAGGCCACAAGACCAGTAGGGAACAGGGCTAATTCTGGAAGCCCAGCCTCCCTGGAACCAGCAGGGAGTCTCAAAGCCTCTGTCTTCCTGTGCTGAGTTCTCACTTTTTGCAGGAGTGTCTGGTCTCACTCTCAACTCCCTTTTAGGCACATATCCTTGTCCACAGAGCTATAATAGCTGGGACTACTCAGAACTAGATCCAGAGAGATTCCGGAGAGAAGAATTACTGTTACAGAGAAGAAAACTGATAACAGGTAAGATACCAGCTATGGACTCCCACCCACTTTGCTCCCAGCCTTACCCAACTACTACCTGATCAAGGCAGGGGACAACCTCAGTATTGATGTCCTCAGGCCAGGTTCTCTCTCACCTACCTCCAAACTGGCCACCAAAATGACTGAATTGCTAATGCTTATAAACTGTAGTTAGAGTCCACACAACATAACTGTTGGGATGTGGGGAGTGGAATTTTATGTTTGAATGATAGAATGTAGAGTCCACACAACATAACTGTTGGGATGTGGGGAGTGGAATTTTATGTTTGAATGATAGATGCCAGTTAATGAGTATCTACTATGTGCCAGGCACTGTGCTGGGTTCTCTATCCATTTTATTTAATTCTCAAGACAACCTGCTGAAGTACACATTAAATACACTTCACAGATGAGGAAACTAAAGTTCACAGAAGCACCTTGCCCAAGGTCAACTTTTTAATTTCATTCAACAGACACGTGATGAGCACTGCGTGCCGGGCACTGTGCTGAACACTAGGGACAAGGTAGAGCCAAGCACAGTCCCTCCTGGCAATCTAGTGGCAAATTCAGCAACACAATCATACTGCAGAGAATGGAGCTCTGTGATGGGGGGACGCAGGGTGCTGGGGCAGCATGGGGAACGGTCTCCAGGCCAGCCCTGAGAAGGTCAGGAAGTGGAAGGACCTGTGTTTTAGGCAGGTGGAGGGGAGGACTCATAGTGTGATCTGACGACCAGCAGCATCAGCATCTCCCTAGATCAAGTGAATCAGGCTCTGCAGTTTACCAAGATCCCCCCAGATCTATAAGCACATTCTAGTTTGAGCAGCGTTCATCTAGGGCACAAAGATAGAGAATACCTGGCAACCTTTGCAGCAGAGTATTGCTGCAGTTATTGGCTGGAAATTGTAACAGCCACCACTTCCTCAGGGCCAGAAACTTTTATCTGTTACTTTCCTAAGCATTCACATTTATTGACCCACTTAACAGATAGCTTTGAGGTGGATAGTAATCAGCTCTTTAACAGGATCAGAAAGGTTAGATAACTTGCCCTAGGTCACTCAGGAGGTGGAGTTCTTGGGTGGGTGTGCCATCCTCCAGGCAGGGGGCTCTCAAAACTTCTGATCTGTAAACTTCATTGCCCCGGTGTGAGAAGTAACTAAAGAACAGTTTTTTTCCTTCTTTAGGAAAAGAGTTTTCTTTCTTCACTTGTAAAAGATCCTCCTTCCAGAAGCCAGCCCAGAGCAGGAAATCCAGCCACTCTCAGGTAAGGGGGAGGCACAGACCCAGACCCCTTGGAGCCCCATAAGCTTCAGAAGCCCTGGTTCTTCTGGGCATTAGTGGACTCCTGTCAGCTGCACCTCTCTGTACCTCCTGCCCCATTTTCTGTCCCATCTTCTCAGTGAGGGGTCCTGGAAGGCCTCCAGAGATCTCCCTTTCAGTGAGTCGAGCACTAAGAGGCAACCACAGAAATGCAGCAGTTGAGGACAGAGGAAAGGAACCAGCCTTAAGTGTTGGCTGCAGCATAAGATGCCTTTACATCTTTTTTTCCCTCCATGAATCCTCTGGCAAGCCTGAAGCCTAGAAGTCATCCCTGAAACCTCCTTCTTCCTCTGCCCTATTGCTGTTCTCTTCTACCTACAAACAGAACCACCCTCTTCTTGCCCTTCGCTCCTGCCACCCTGGTTTGAGCTCCCATCACTACTGCAGTAGCCTTCTAACTGGTCTCCCTCAGGTCTCGGATACCTGTGCATCTTTTCAAAATGCAAAGCTAATTACATCATCCCATCACCACCTGACCATATCCCATCCCCACACCTTAAATTCCCTCCTTCCAGCCCAAATTAAAAACACCTTCTATACCTCAGAAGGCTTTCTCTCACCTTTGGGGTACACTGACCTGAAAGGGCCTGCCTCATTTGCCCAAACCCATATCCACCCTCCGGGGCCTCAGGACTCCTGCCAACAGGGGCCTTTTTTCAGTTCCTTGTATACACCATCCTCCCGCTACATGACCTCTGCACCTGCCATTCCTCTTGTCCCAGATAAGCCCCTGTCACCACTGCCATTGTCATTGTCAGCATCTCCTTCCAACTTCAAGTCCAGAGAGGTCTTGATAGCATGCAATTAACCAAATGCCACAAATCATGGCCTACTTTTTTCTGAAGAGCTGGAAAAAATAAATGTCCAGGGCAGGGTTTGGAAAACTATCGTATTAAGCCATTTCTGTGTTGCTAAAACAGAATACCTGAAACTGGGTAATTTATAAAGAAAAAAGGATTATTTGGTTCACAATTCTGAGACAGCTGCATCTGGCGTGGGCCTCAGGCTGCTTCTACTCACGGTGGAAAATGACAGCAGCCGGCTAGTGCGAGATCACATGGTGACAGGAAGCAAGAGAGAGGGAGGGAGGGGAGGTGCCAGGCTCCTTTAAACAACAGGCTCTCAGGGGAGCTAACAGGGATGAGAACTCACTCCCTATACCCCTCCACCCCCAAGGGAAGGTACTAATCTGTTCATGAGAGACCCGCCCCCCATGACCCAAATGGCTCCCAACACTGCCACATTGGGGATCAGATTTTGACATGAGTTTTTGGGGAACAACATATTCAAACTCTATCAACTATGAATCAGGACTTTCACTGCCTATTTTTGTAAATAAAGCTTTATTGGCAGACAGCCATGGCCACTCATTTACTATTTTCTACAATTACCTTTGTACTCAAACAGGAGAATTGAATACTTGCAATAGAGAATTTATGACCTACAAAGCTGAATATTTGCTATCTGGCTCTTTGCAGAAAAAGTTTGCTGGGCCGGCCCGGTGGCGCACTGGAGAGTGCGCTGCTTGGGAGCATGGTGGCGCTCCCGCCGAGGGTTCGGATCCCATGTGGAGACCGGTTCCCGCTCACTGGCTGAGCACGGTGCGGGCGCAACACCGAGGGTTGCGATCCTGTTGCCGGTCCCCGGTATGGGCGTGACACCGAGGGTTGCGATCCCGTTACCCGTCAGTAAAAAAGACAAAAAGGAAAGAAAAAAAAAAAGTTTGCCAACTCCTTGTCTAGAAGATACATACTCATTCTTCCATCTCAATTCAGGCACTTGTAGGGGAGGAAAAAACTTTCCTCTATCCTCTTAGGCTTAAGGTATGGGGTTCTGCAAATTAAACTGACAAAAGACAGATTAACAGGAGAAAAGGTATTTAAATTTTATTTGATGTTAATATTTTTACATGACAGAGGACGCTTCCTAGAAAAGAAGTGAAAACCCCAAAGAAGCAGTTAGGCTTGATAGTTATATACCATTTTAACAAAGAGTGATACATTGTGTAGCCATGACAAGACAAAGGAAAAGGGGTTTGGGCTTCTAGGGATGGTAAATTGTGAGAAGATAAATGTATAGGGGAAACTAATGGAAGATAAGGGTTATTTCAATAAGGTTTATTTGTGTAGATTCACATTGGTGTCATCTTCCCTGATGAGTGTCTTTTCTTCCTAGTACTGGAGATAAATGAGGAAACATCTTCACAAAGGAAAATTTATGCCTCACTTTTAGGAGGAAAGGGGAAGGCTGGAGAGCTTTTCCTGTGTCTGCTGTTTCTCAATTGTCTTCAGCTCAAAATAATCCTCATGCCAAAGTGGCACATTTTGGGTGGTATACTCTGATCTCCTTCATCCCCTTGCATCCTCAGGGTCAGCTTGCTTGACCCTCTGGTCTGGAGCTTCCTTGTTATATGTGCTCATATCCCTTTCCTTCAGAGTAATGTAATTACTAATAATGTAATTATTCATCATTACTCTGATCATGGTTGTCTCCCCATTAATCTTTAAACTCTAGGATATCTCCACATCTAATGCCTAAGTGCCCCATTTCTAATGCCATGCTTCATTCTTAACAAGTAGCAGATCAGGCTTGATTCCTCACTTGGTTCTGTGCAGGGTGGGAGTGTTTCCACTCTGGCCCATTCACCAAAGGGAGTTTCAAGATGGGGAAAGGGTGTGTCTTTCTTTTGTAAAATGGGATGGAGGCTGTTGTGAACACCTGCACATTCTCAAGACAATCACTTTTAGAAAACAGTATGAAAGCAAATTTGAGGATCTGGAAATGGATGTTCTTAGAACTGTCAGTCCCATTAGTCATTGGAAAGTCTTCATGTCCCCACAGGGTTTGAAGATCTCCGGTTAAGGGCCAGTTCTCATGGGCTAAGGTTCTAGCTGTGCTGCAAGTTACTCAATTTCCCTAAGACTTTGTTTTTATACTTGTAAAATGAGTACAATAACCATGGTGTCTTCTTGCTGCCATTATGAGGACTGGAAGACATAGGGGCACTTGGCCTCACCGCACCACCTCACTTTCCTAGTGTGTCCAGGTTCCCCCTCCTAGAAACACAGATGTCACTCTCTCTGACCTTCAGACTGTCCACTGCAGTCTACCTTTCCCACTATCCCTCCACCCCAGCACCTCCCAGGGAATGTCTTCACTGAGAAATTAGAAGCAGCCAACAGGAAGGCCCTCACCTTGCTGCCACCAAGACAGCCTGCCCCCGTCTGCACTCTAACAAGCTGCCGTCCCTCTGTGCCCATGGACAAGGGGCCCTGCTCCCCTCCAGGGCCAGCCCCCAATGTGTGCTCTGGACCTCGCCCCTCTTGACTTCTCAAGGAGAGATGTACTTAGTGCCCCTCCCTGTTGCACCATCTTCGTCTCCCCGTCATTGAACAGGGGTGCTCTAGCATCTCTTATCTTTAAAATTAAATCTCCTTGGACTCCACATCACCATTTTCTGCTCCCTTTCACACCAGAACTTCTTGAAAGACTCATCTCCTTTCCTCACCTCGCAAATGTGCCTCCCTCGGCTGGCTGCTAACTGTGGCCGCTCTTACTAGACATGGGTCCAGACCCAAAAGTCTCTTCCCTAATCTGTTTCATAAGATTGGCTGCTCCCACCTTCTTGTAATGCCATTTTCTCTTGGCTTCCATGTTGCCAGACCTTTGCCAATGTCTTCCTTCCTCACTGGCTGCCCCTTCTCAATCTTCTTTGCAGGCTCCCTGTCCTGTCAGTCCTCTCTGACCTGGGCTCCTTCCTTGCTCTGTCTGCGTGTTCTCCCCAGGCAGCCTCATCCATTCTGGTGGCTCCAGATGCCATGCATATGTCAGTAACACCAGATCTCCCTCTCCTCCCTGGCCTCTCCCATAACTCACACGAGTCTATCCAACTGCCCTGTTGGCCTCACCGGGAGCATCTCAGACTTAGCAGGGCTGAGGAGAGTGCTTGACTCCCAGCCCCCAGCATCATATCTCACCAGGCCAACTGTAGTGGCCACCGCCTGGGCTCCTTTCTCTTACTCACAGCCCCAGCTCAGTCTCCACATAGTGACCAAAGTGACCTTTTACAAACATACATCAGATAGGGTCATTCCCTGCTTAAAATCTCCAATAGCTTCTCCAGTGCCTCGGAATAAAACCCAGTGTCGTTCACCTGACTTGAAATGCCCTGCAGAATTCAGCCTCTGTCTCTCTCCAGCCGCCTCGCATCCTTTCCCTTCCTAGCAATAGACCTTAGCCCACTGCCCTTACTTCTGCCTCTTGGACACTCTAGGCCTATGCCCAGTTGGGCCTTTGCAGTAGCTGTCACCTTTGCCTGGATGTGATTCCCTCAGGGTTCCTGAGGGAATGGCTGGCTCCTCTTTGTCCTTCAGATTCCAGTTTTAATGTCATTGCCCTGCCCGCCTCCGCAGCCACTCTATCATCACCTTGCCTATTTTCGTTCTCTATACAGTGCTTATCACGATCTGCTGTTCCTCCCGCAGGGTTTGTGTATTGTTTAGAATATGTCTCCCTGTATTAAATGTAAGCTCCATGAGAACAGGATCTCTTTTTCCTTTGTCTCTGTTCTATCTCCTTTATCTCCTAGAATAGACCTCGCACAAAGAAGGCACTCAACAAATATTTCTGGACTTCAAATGGGATAATCTACATGAACTCTTGGCCCTGTGCTTAGCATGTAATGGTGCTCTATATGTAAGCCCCCGAAAAGAATGGACGAAACAGGTGCTGCAGAGAGACAGCTGTCACTCAGAGACCAAGATCAAAATATTATTCAACATTTTGACACTGCCTGTCACAACGGCTTGAAACAAATGTATTTTCTTTGTACTGAAATACATAAAATCTTCTGACAGTTATTTCAGGAACCCAGCTAATAGATTCCATTTTCTGCCCCAGAAATAGAAATAATAAAAACCCTGGATCCTTGAAAGCAGCTGAAGT